CATATAAAAAAAAGGTATTTCGTCTTCGTACTAAGAAGTCAAAATTAAATCAAATATTGTATAGAAGAATTTTGCAGCAAAAAATCTCGAAAATTCATCCGTTGAAAACCCACATTTTGGAGAGAAAAATGAAGCGATGAACGCGTTGACAAGGCGATGCTTGGTAGCAACTGTTGCTCACATTTCCCCCCTCTCTTTTCCATGTAGGGGAATGAAGAAGGAAAAAAAAAAGTTTGATGCATTTTTCCTGAGGTTACGAACAGCATAAGCATGAAATTATACTGGGTGAAATCTCAACCGTATACGTGTTCGAGCGCGAGGGGAAAATGTCGCTCGCGGGATTTCAATGTTATAATTCTCGTATATCCGCGGAAATGCGAGGCCTTCTTTTGTGTGAAAAGATACGAGAACGGAAAAGGAAAAAAAAAATGTGCTTCATATTTTCATCACAGTGTTATCGATTTGAATTCTCTGCTGGTTTATTTCTCCGATTGCCTCAAATTACTGACCCAGAAAATGTAATCAATAACAACAATACGCAAGTGACCATTATTCCTTTCGGAAGAAACTCGTCGGTAATTTTTTAAAATCTCCCGATCGTAATTACTTGATGAAAAAATTTTCTGCTTCCGAGCTTCTTATACTGAACCCGTTTGAGAGAACCCCCGGTTTTCAATCCGCATGAAAAAGGGAAATAATCAATTTTTTTCTAAAAAAAAAAAAAAAAGAACAAAAACGGGATTCTGAAAAAGAAAAAAAATTTCGCGATTTTTCGTTGGCAACCCTAGCTTCAATTTCATCGGAAGCAGCTGACGCAAAATTTTTCAATGTCTGGATTCGTCGCTTTCGCCTTTGTGTCTGTTTGTAAAATGGAGCTCGCTCTAAGTGCCGAAAAATGTTAAAAAGGGTCAACATGAGGAAACCCCTTTTAATGATGCCTTCTCTGTCATTTTTCCTCGTCTTTCTTGGTAATTGATGAGTCGCATCCTTGAGATGACAGCAAATGTTTCGAGAGATAAACCCTGAAAGTGCCAATTCGATTCAAACCTTGCTTGAAATGCAGGTGTTTAAAAATATCCACTTCCCTGCGTGCGGATGTCGCTAATTTTTTCGATATTTTCATTTATTAGAAATATTTAGAGTTGGCCTTCTTTTTCGCGGAAACAAAAAAGACGTCATTTTCGAAGGGTACCGAAAATCTAACCTTGTTATATAACACGGCATTCAAAGATTTGGCCCCTTTACCCTTTTTGAAATCAACTTTTGTAAATGTCTATTTTTCCTGTCCAAACAACAATTTTTCTTCAATAGTTTATTTTCTACAGTCACCTACAACCTTCAATATTTATTGTATTTTTTGGAGCATCCGTGGAGCACTAGCTGAATCGTGTCTATTTCAAATTTTTTCATTACGCCTACTGGAAAAATATGCAGCCAAAATGATTTGAAACCTAGCAAGGAAACAATTTTAAGAATACTGTATTTCAAACTCCATTAAACACACACTGTACTGGATGCAGTCTTCAAGGCATACAAAATTCTTGTCAATAATCATCAAAGGAGGAAATTGCTTCAAAAAAATTATATGATGCTCATTATTAATTTATCCTTGGATAAAATACATTTTTAGACATATAACATATACACTATAAGTCTAATCGGTGACTGATGCTGGAAGAGTGTAAGAATGCCGTTGTAACTTGAACAATTTCCAATCACATTGACTGCTAATCATGCACTGATCATAAAGACTATTTTGTAACCCTTTATCATGAAAAATTCGTGAGGAAACGCATTAATTTTGCCAGCCTCTCTTAACTGCACCAGCGACGTTTACAAACTGATGAAACTTGAAACGCATGCTTAAAATAATCAATTTAAGAGAGCAAAAAAAAAAATCGTGTTTGGAAAGAAAAACGGAAGTGACGATGAGGGAACCGGAGCCGAGAAAGCATCGGGTCAGCCGGTCGTACGTTATATTTGCGACGTCGTCGCTGTCGTGTGACGAAGGCTCCTGGCTGCTTCTTTCTGCTCATTTTCTGGCAACAATAACCGTGACAGTGGGCGAAACTAAAGCCTCTGCTTCATTTTCTTCTAATTCCTTTTCAACGACTTTGTCTCGAAGGTACTGTAGCAGCAACGCGTGGTTCCGGATGAATTTGTCACACACAAAAAAAGAAAGTATTTGACTCATTTCATCATACTTTGGATCCTATGTTCAGAAATTCTCTGCACTTCTCGGAACCTACTTAAGTCACATGGAATGCCTCTGGTATACCAGAACTGCAATTATTTATCGTGAATTTGATGGTATTGAAGAATATTTGGCACGTAAAAATTACTCGCTGGTCTGAGTAGCCGACTCATTCAAGTGAGTATCTCTGAATATCATCGATTTATTTTCTAATTATCGAGGCAAACTTCAAAGGTATAAAATACATTTTCTTATTCACTTCATTTAAAGGACACTTATGAAAACATAGCGTTTTAAACGCGCTTCGGTAGTTTAAATATATGTTACCAAATTAATGATATTATTCTTCGACCACGAGATCAAATTTTTAGAATTTTCACACCCAACCTCACTTTTCAACTTTTATTAAATTTCACGCATCAATCTGAGGAGTTCTTCTTTCTTGGTTGAAGGGAAATTTCAGTATCTGAAAGAAGCAGTCAAGGTTTGAAAAAACGTATTCTAAAATTTTTCATTTTTATAGAGATATTCTTTGCGGAAAATGTTCGGGAAAAAAAGCGTTTGCGGTTCCTGGATAAGTGAATGAAATCAAGGAGAGTCCAACAACTTTGATTAAACTGCCATTTGGTAAAACGATCGCACATTTTAATTTCTTATTGCTAGGAAATTATTTGGCCTCAAAACCTCATATTTGCATAATACGCTTCACCTAAAAATACATTTGGAAATGTTAAAAAAAAGTAAGCTTGATATCTGTGGCGTCATTTTTAAATTTATTTAAACCAGCTGAGTTTTATTTTTTAAATTCCGTAGCATATGATTATCATACATTTTTGATCATGTGGGCAAAGGTCATTATAGTCGGGATGCTCAGAATACTACTGAATCGTATTCTTTACCGAAGATACGATTGCGCTCAGGACAGACTAACTCTGACATGATTCGGTCACAGGATGATATTACATTACAGTGGATAATCCTCTATGATTATCTCGGACGGCATGAAGATGAGCTCTCATGTCGGGGAAATCAGATGAGCATCAACGTCGGTCTAACGACTAAACCCCGTACATAGTCCGGTTTTATTACCTCGCTTCTGCATCAATCGTCCCTGAGGAACGCCGGACATCCCGACAACAGATACAAGAAGAAAGAAAGAAAGAAAAACGAAGAAGAAGAAGCAGCAGAAGCAAATAATAAAAATAAAAATGAAAGGAAGCCAGGGGTCCGAATGAAAACGTTATTGCCAGCGTGATGACACACGCAATTTCGGACTCACAATTTCCCTGCAACAAAAGGCCTGCTTCTCCTCCTCCCCCACCAACGACGATCTGAACCTTTTATTTTTTCTTCTTTTTTCTTCTTCATATTTGTCTCTATTTCGACCCCCATAGTTGTCCCTGGCCACAAGAGGCGCGGAGAATTGCGCCAGATGTGACGCGATGCGAACGTCGCTGCAACCCCCTCCTGAATCCAGCAGCAGTGCCGACATTTTTGCCCCCGAACCACGGATAAATGGCAGTATTCGCGCAGTCAGTTTCGGAAGGGCCATGCGTTAAATTTCTTTTGCAACGACAGCTGACGATCACTAAGCTGACTAAGGCATAGAAAAAAGAGACTAATCCTACCGGTTCAAATAAATTCAAGAATGACTCGTCATAATATGAGCCTGATTCATTCCTTAGATTTTCTAAATCTGAACGCATTAGCGCGAATATTTAACACTTTAACCGATCAAAGATATAGAATCGATAGGAAATACAAAATATAGCATGTAATTGAATACTATATTTTTCATGTAAAAACAAAATTTTTGCATGCACGTCTAGCGCTTTTCTTGCATTAATTTGTGGTTCTTGTGGAATCAGAGAGGCCTGCCATCGATTCGATTCATGCTCGAATTACCCGTTTAATGTCTCACTCTTGATAAAATCATTCCTAATGGGAAGCAGGAATCTAATTTATGTGCCCTCAAATAACTGAAAATATTGCCAAGGTTTCAGTAAATCAAAGAGCACACAAATTTTTATTCATTAAATTATGTGGATCCTGAAAATGCATGCACTTGACCTGGATGTCCAGGATGCCATCACCAGCAGACATGAAACCTTATTGAATATAATAAGTTTTCAATGCCAAGGAAATAAGGGTATGTATGCATACACATCAGTTGTGCATTTGTAAATTGTGGAATGTATTTTCTTTTATTTTGGTACCCATATACAGCTTATTTCTCTGTTTCCCATTCTGGGGGGATTGAATGCGTTTGAATGGATTTGGATTGGGTGGGGAGGGGGTTTGGATGTGGGAATGTTGATTGAACCTTGTGAACACTGAAAAACAAAAAATAAAGCTTTCTGTTAATTCATTCATTAAATATAAAACGCACTAAATTAGAAGTAAGATTCTCGTGCATTCGAGTAAATATGCTATAGACAAACTAATCCAACTGGTCATCGGTCGATTGAACCACAAGCCCAGAAATTTATGCTGGTAATGTGTTATAGAAATTGAATTGTCATTTCCTAACCCCTTCATCGACAAAAGCTTGATCTATTTAAAAACGATCGACTAATTTTGAACTACAGTACCTTTCTCCGAACTTTTTCAATATTATCTCCACGTGGATAATTTCGATCAATTTATGTAGCAGTCTGCATCATTAAAATACACAGTACAGTGCATATATTCAACTGCATTGCAAGTGGTGGAATTATGTGGCAGGCCCTCGAGGTCGCTTGTACGGAAGGCACCGGAGTATTTATTCAGAGCCACCAGAGCAATCGTCACTTGTCGACCCTTGGGGCTAAACAGAGTAGACGAAAGAAAGAAAATCGTCATCCCCGTCGCCGTCGACTAGAATGACGACGTCGCCTCCAAAATGCAAACATCAATTAAAAAAGGAAAAAGAAGAATAGATGAAGAAGAAAAAAAAAACTCCCACCGCGGCGCCGTTGTTTTCGTCCCTTTTGGTGGCGTGTCTGGCGACGGATGTCCTATAAACAGGCGGACTTTGCCGGTAAACAGAGTTGTACATATAGGGTTGCGATCGAAAAAAACAAAAACAAACAAAACAGACCTATTCACAGTCGTAAATATAGACATTTATTCTGAATAATAAGAAGCACAACTCCAGCGGAAATCTTTTTCGATCACTTTTCAAACAAAAAAGTTTTGACAATATTCAGTGCAACAACACTGTCTGCAGTTAAATCAAATCAAACAAACTGTTGAAAAACTGCTGCAATTGCTATAATTCTGGCTTATGCTGCAATTCTTGTTACTGATATTTTGTTTTCAATGCAAGGGAAAAAAGGTGGTGTACACATGCACATCAGTTCTGCAGTTGCACATTGTGGGATGTATTTTCTTTTATTTTGGCATCTATATGCAGTTTTTTTCTCTGTTTCCCATTCTGAAGTGATTGAATGCATTTAAATGGAATTGGGTTGGGTGGGGATAGGGTTCCGATGAGGGAATGTTGATTGAACCTTGTGAACACTGAAAAGTGGAAAATAAAGCTTTCTGTTCTTTCATTCATTCAATAAAACATACGCAACAACGGCATTTCCAGTCCCACTTTATCAAAATTGACATTGATTTTTTTGTCAAGGGTGTCCCGGCTCCGCGCTGCTTGAAATGACTTCAAAATATTTTATTGAGTCCCACAAAATTTTCAAAATACTGTACAGTATACATAACCCTGTATAGATGATAGAATGGGAGGAAAAAAGGCAAGTGTGATGTGGGGAATTTGTGGGTCCTCATCGACGCGCGATGAGAATTAATTGAGCCCTCTTTATTGGTACTGAGATAGAAGTGGGGCAAGGGGCTCTCGTTTGAAAGAGAAGGAAGAGTATTTTGTTATCCCTTGAGTAAAAGCAGACGCTTTTTGTTCCGGGACATTTAATTCGTTCCCCGCATGGGCGGGTTGCGGGGGGCAGGGCCGCAATTTATTTCCGGCTTCGCGTCATCCGGTTTTTAAGCCGGTTAATTTTGACGCCGACGTTTTTAATGGGATGTATTTATTTTTGAGACAGTTTTGAGCGCATGGCTGAGTGGCTGACTCATTTTTGCTTCAACTTCAAAAGAAAGACAAGTGCACAGTGGCCCTATTTGGGTGCTTGTATTCGGGCAACCGAAAGGAAATTTAGCAAAATCAAAAAACAGTTGGGTATTTATTTCAGCTTCAGAACGCATCAAAGATCTCAAGCTGAACTTAATTACATAATTATTGCGGCAGTTCCTCTTAAATTCATCGAAAACAAGAGAAATTTCATCGCATTCGGAAATCAGCTTTTGATGTTCACGGACGCATCTTAAAATTAATTAATTAAACTTAATCGGGGACGAGAAATTTATCCTCGAGTGAATCCATCCTTGAACATTTTGGAAAATATTTCGGAGGTACTGTACTGCATTACAAGCTTCAAATGACAATGGAATAATTTGCCGTTAACAGTTTTGCTATTGTTTTACTTCAGAGATCACAGTTTTTTTTTGTGAAAAAGCAAATATAATTAGTTTAACCGATTTCGAGCATACCAAATTAAATTTTCAGCACAATCATGCATTTTCAGGGGTGAAACTGAATTTCGAAACCTGCAACATTTAAAAAATGTAAAATAGCATTGAAATTATAAATTTATATTTATCACGATCACTTCAAAAATCCTTTCGAAAATTCAGTGCGTGTGTTTCGGAAGAATTACAAAAAAAGTCTTGGCATCACATGACATCAGTACTATACTAAAAACTTTAAGGAACAGCAGGAGCTCAACATTTCCGATTTTTGCGTTTTCACCATATTCCGAGAAACCGAATCACGTTTCGGAGGTTCCAAAATTTGGCACCTCCTCTCCATCAAAAAAGGTCATGGCAATAAAATTTGCGTTTCTGTCATTTTCGTCCTCCAAAAAAATCGCCCCCCCCCCCCCCCATTCGGAATGACACTGTGAAGTTTGACAACAACGTGAATTTAAAATCCCTAGGGATACTGTTTTCTCTTGGGGGAGATGCAAGAATGGCCGTTTGACTGTCAACAAGGGGGACTTGTGAAAGTGAAAAAGGTCATCTGCAATTTGTTGCCAATCCTATTCCCAAAAGATTTTTTCGAGCGCTTGAAAATTCCAGTCACGTTTCCGTCATTCCACGAATTTTCTGGAGCTGTCCTTTTCCTCTTATCCGTACGCGTATATGTTCAGATGAAAAAAACCTTATATGGTAAAAATAAGTCTATAAAAGAAAGCAAGTAAGCCTATTCGAAAAGAAAAAAAAATTGTAGCTAAAGCTTTAAGGTTTTTTCAATTGCACAATTTTCTCGTAAGAAGCTTAAATTCGTCCGGGCAAAACTTTGTTGCATTCGCTCGTCCTGATCCGAGTTATTTTGCACGAAAACTTGCAAACGCGGCATGTCTGCAAAATTTCCCCCTTTTCCCCGAATTCATGAACAATGAAAGTTTGCTCACCGATAATGTTGCAGAAAGCCAGGAATTCGCAGAAAAAATAGCGGTACGCCCACCAGTTGTGATGCCGGACATTTTCCGCCAAATAGTCAAGCAGCAATTTCTTCTTCTGCTTCTTTTCCACCTCGGAGCAAATGCCGACGTCCAAGTCCATCATCAGGGCCTGAATCTTTCCTGCTTCCCAGTTTTTCCAGAGCCACCGTGGAATGTAGCACATGATCGCCTGGAAAGAAATACACATTTCTGGAATGTCCACGGCTGCAAAGATTTCTGCAGAAATTCGCCAATAATGTTGCTCATTTTTCGACCGTGCTGATCGTGGTGCTTCACAAAATAAAAAATAAAAAAATCTCGAGGGCAAAGAAGACTGTTACTCAACTAGACTAGTCATGCGGCGTTCACTTTCATCGACTCGGCCCTAACTAACTGCAAAGAATGCTTTTCAAAACCTCTTCAAACATATAAGAACAAAAAGGAAGCCAGAAATATCCAATGAATCACCCACCCCCAACAAACTCCTTTCTACCCCCCTTCGACAAAAACCATCTCGCGAAAAAAATCGCCTTCATGACGTTGAATGGGAAGCTAGAAAATAATGGCCAGGGGAGAGATCAGCTGCCACTCTGGCGGAGAAGAAAACCAGCAGATATTTTTTGGCGTGCAGATCATCGCTTTAATTTGGGATGGACTTGAATAATCCAAACAAGTTTCAATCAGACCATGAGTATAGAAACGTGCCTGACTTTGCATTAAAAACAAAAATACGTTGTCGTTAAATTGTAGAATGTGTCAGTAAATCTGCGGAACGTGAAATAAATGATTTGAATTGATGTTCTGTTCTCTCTGCAGTATTTGCCTGAATACGTTTCTAACCCGGTAATTCTTTTACTCGCATATGAGATTCGCATGTTTACAATATCCCATGATTTTTCTTAGTAGTATTTGCCTGAGGGAAAAACTTGAATTATAAATTTGTGCGTAAATACAGGTAAAAAAAAATTGCATCCTACAAGACGTTGGTGTGAAAAATAAGGCAATCTTCTCTCAGTATATCCTCTATTTGTGTCAAAATGTATATCTTCTGTTTGGGATTGGCTGATTAAGCTTTTCTCTTAGAACATGACCTTTATCCAGAAAATCACTTCCTTACATGGAACATTTTGAAAATAACTCCTGATTTATTATCATTTTTACGAGTCCTAAATTCATGAAAGACTGCAATTTTTTTAAACGCAGATTTGTTCCGCGTTTTTTTTTTATTCAGATCAAGCTTTGAAGAGAATCTTTCTGAAAAATCTGGAGACAAATGCCATGAATTGTCGGGCTTCGGAGTGCAATAAATTCAAAATTTAATTTTGAATCTTGACTACGATCCTCTGCTGCATTTGAATCAGAGGATCCTTTCTCTTGGAACCCGTGAAATTTAAACCAAGGACCCCCACTGTTCCACGCTTGCTGGGCTGTTCAACTGATTGAAGCTGTTTGCAGATACAATCAATTATATTGTACATTCAATTCTTCGATGCTCCAGCCTTAAAAAAAGTTTTTTTTTTCGAGGTGATAATTTTTGATAAATGTTTCAAGGGCTATTGCACGAGAAAATAAGATATACCAGAGAAAGCAAAACGAATTAAAATGAAATTTGGTGCAGGGGAAAAGGGAGTCCGTACCAGAAGAACCCAGGATTTTCCGGGCTACCCCGTAGTCTCGTGACCAAACCGGAAATGAACCCCCGGAACTCGAAAGTGACGAGTTGCTCTTGGGCACAGAACAGACACTCGGGTCATACTCACTCGGCACTGGGATGTCCAAGCGCTGGGGGATTTGCAACCCCCGTGTTGCAACATTTTCCCCGTCTTATTTTTGTTTTGTATATATATATATTTTTTTTTCTACACGCCATGCTTTCATTCATTCTTTATTTATTTTTCCCCCTTTGCGTCATCACCAATCCGAATGCCAGTGTATAACATATCCCCCTAGTACGTGTGCAATCCCATGAAGTCAATCTATGTGGGAGCGCGAGATTTGCGTCGCTGGCGTGCAAAAACGCGCGTCAAAGGGCATCCGGTTTCTACTAATGCTATCAGACCTGTCGCTCAAACGAAGGGCTTATCCAAAAGCTTTTTGTTCTTATCCGTGGACTTCTTAATATTGAATAATAAGAAAAGAAGCATCCCTACTGTCTCAGAATTAGTGAAGGCACATTTGAGCAATACTGTATTAAGTTAAGCGACGAATCTCTGGGGGAAAAATGAAAGAAAAATAGAGTTTTAGAAAAAATATATTTCCTGGCAAAAAAAAAAAATCAGTTTGATTCCTTATTTTATCAAAGAATCAAAGCCGATCATATACATGCATATACATGAGGGGGTTTTTTTCCGGTTTTGTCACGAGACTACGGGGTAGCCCGGAAAATCCTGGGTTCTTCTGGTACGGACTCCCTTGCTGAAAAGCGGCAAATAAAGTTTTCTGTTCATTCATTCATACATGCATATTCATTTGTGAGGGTTCGAGATTTTCGAAGTTTTCTCTTGCAATAATGCATGTTATTCAGCGAGAACATTCATTGTCTCTGCCAATAACTCAGAAATCAATTCTGATAGTTCTGAATGGCGTCTTTCTCAACATATAGTCTGTTATTTTTCAAGACTGACTTATCGTATTTTTACGCGAATACAGTAGTTTAAAAATGGTATATGGTGCAGAATATATTTTCCAATGTGACAGAACTCTGACTGATTCCAATTTAAGCCTTGGTTCAATAAGGTTTATTTTAAATAAGGATACATTTGAAGAACTTTCTACTTGGTGGGATTTCAGTGTGTCCCTGAGCAGTAAAAGGAATCAATTGATCCCAATTATTTGACAACAATTACTTTTTCCTTCCGAAGAAGTATAGACAGTCAAATAATTTTGAAATTAAGGGCTTGAAAACTGCCTTGGTATTTCGCACACAAAATCATGATGACTAGAAAGAAGTGTAAAAAAAGGAGGAGCCAGTTGAAAGCGATCGCAAGATATGATATTTATGCAGTTTTAACTTTATGAAATTTAAATAAAACATTTATATATATGACCTAGCAATCAATTGAGAATAAGGATCCGCCTTTCACTTTTAAATACAAACAATTTGTATCCTTCGTTGTAAGTGAATAAATAAATGAATGAATCGGTAGACAGACAAGTCAAATAGTTACTGCCTTCATCTGATTTCTGCAAAACATTCCTATACAGTATACGACACAATGACGATTCAAAAAATGCGGATCCACGTTCAAAAAATTTTTTTTACCAATAAAAATATCTCTCCTATTATTTGTTAACGCATAAGAATCATTACATCCCAGCAGACCTCGTCATTCATCACATTCCATCTCGCAGTAGAAAAAAAAAAGAAAAGCGGATTACGTACACATTTGGAACTGAATTTCTTTCGGGAATCCCCCGGCCAGTGGCAAACAAATAACAGCACACACGCTACAGCTGATGAACATATCCGGTTGATGCGAATGATACGCAGCTTCCGGACATGATTGCTTATGAATGGCGGTGCTGAGGGGGCTTTGGTGGCGGTGCACACGTTGTGGTAGTGAGGGTTAATTGAGTGGACTTGATGACCGGAACACAGAGAGAGGGGGCAAATGTGCTGGATATTTCCTCATGTACACCGTGTTGTCGTTGTTGTTGTTGGTAATGATGGTTGCGGACGTGTCTGCGTACCTTTCATTGGGTTATACGTATATAGGAGGTTCTTGCTGGGTCCCAGCAGTGTCACAGGCACTTAGTTCTGCGGCAGGGGCTGTGGGTTTTGTACTACTGAGATTTGTTTTTGCCACGGAAATAAAAGAGAGAGAGAGGGGGGACTCGAAGACAACACCCTTGGGAGTTTACGAGGTGGTTTCTTCTGATGGCTGTTGGGGGAGTCACGGTTCATCATCATTCAACCCGATTTTTTTTTCTAGAATGTCTAGGAATTCAGTGAATCCACCCAAATATACAGTGAAACCCCCACATGCGGACGCCGCGACCTGCGGACAATTCGACATATAGGGACACTTATTTTTCCAGAAAAAATCAATAAATAAGGCCCGACATGAGGACACTGACTTGACATTGGGACATTTTGTGATAAAATTGCAAATACATTTCTGACCAAATTACAAGAAACAGATATTTCCAACCCTAAAATTGATGTAAGTAATTCTGAAGAATATTTCTTCCACAAAACACCAATTAAAAATTATATAATGTAAGTCTATGGGAAAACTAGACTCGACTTAGGGACATTTTGACTTGGGGGCACTCTTGATGCACCAATTAAGTGCGCATCTCGGGTCTCACTGTATTTTACAATGAGGAAACCGATGAACTTTCCAAGTACAGTACACATTACAGGGCCACAATATCCTGAATTCCAACCTTTTCTTGCTCAGTGGCGGGTTATCCGAAGTTAATTTCATCAGAGAGCAGCAGCACCTCAATTTGAAAATTGCCTCGACATTCTATGGTCACTCCCTTGATCCTTGCGAGAAAGACTTATGAAGTTGTTTCTGAGTGAATGATTTTTTTGTGCTGATGAATAATTCAAGTACTGGTGCTCGCGAAGAGAAAGCAAAATCGAATGAAAAAGGAACCCGTGCCGGAAATCGAGGATTTTTCAAGTTTGCCCCGAATGGTCTCGTGATAAACCTGAAAAGGAACCCCAGAAACTTGGAAGGGACGAGTTGATCTTGGGCATAGGAATTTCTTGCGGGAATTTTGCTTTGTTTCACGTTGGTTTCAAGAAAAACTGAAGGTACCCACGTAGTTTAAATCATGCTGATCGTTAATGATATTTCAAAATTGTAATGCTACGCGATTGCGACTCATGCACAGCGATCAAGCTCAAAAACGTTGGTGACGTGGATAAAACAAAAATTTATCTCATATATTATATTTTAGTCTCAAAACTTATGTACTATTCCCCGGCAATACTTGAATAAAACACGAACATCTCACAAGAAAAAGAACGGGACGTTTTTTTTTTTTTCTTCCGGTGAACCTAATGAAACCATCAAATCTTCCCAATTGAAGTCATGATTTTCGCGAAAGATGCCAACATTGTGTAAGACCAGATACAGTATATACAGAAGTTGTTCAGATACGCATTTTTATGGTACAGTAATTGAAAGAATGTGTTCTTTTGTGACGATTTCTTTTGTCGAATATAAAACTACATTCCTTGTAAACATGGTACCTTATATAGGGGAAACATTTATTTTGAATCTGGAATAGTTTCATATTCGGAAATCCATCCTGGAGTTGATTACAGCAATTTACATTATGTGGACCCCGGAAATGGGACTGCTTACAACGAACATTTATTCGGAGCTTCCCCCAATTTACCTTAGTTACATCTCACGTTGCTTTGCAGTCAAACTCCCATGGACCCATTGAAAAATTCAGCTTAGTTTTTTATTTATTTAGAAAAACTAGAATTTTTGCTGACAAAAAAAAAACGAAAAATTACAGGACATTTAAATTGGTGTTCTTCTTGACCTGAAACTGCTTTGTGAACGAGTTGACAGTATTCTGAACTTGGAGACGAGGCTTCTTCGAATTATTAAATCACTTCATTCCTTTTCAAATGTACCACATACTGTACATTTGTATTGCTTTATTTTTTTTCCGAAGTCCCCGAAGAATAACCCAAAGGTCTAAAGGTCTAAAAAAATTTGAGATACTGTACTGCATCGAGGTTTGAGGTGGAAGTACATAAGAGACAGGGTAGTTTTATACACATTGTAATACAATACAGTAGAATCTGGTTATAACGAATCCGTTTTTCAAGTCCATCCCTGTCCCAGCATGGCTGAAATGTTACTTGAGTGGCATTCTAACGAATTTTACGTTATAACGAAGCCTTTTAACTGGTTCCAATGGGTACCTTGAAACGAGAGATGAACATAGGTCCAGACATGTACGATAGAAAAAAAAATCGACATTGAGAGGTTTCCTGACTTGTCTGGATTTGTCCAGTCATTGAGGTCCAACTGTATACTGTGTATACTCGGCTTCATATACAGTTGAACCTCTCTAAGTCGAATTTCAAGGGAACTGCAAAAAAATTCGACTTAGAGAGGTTTTGACTTTTATTTGTTAGAACTATAGTACAAAGCACTGTTTTCTGTGAAACTTAGAAAGAATGTAAATGGTAATATTATGGGGCTTAAATGCCCTCTGAAATGAGTTAAAAGGCTGCTGAACTTGAAGGCATGGGTTCATTTGCCCAAGTAAGTCTCTTACTTCCTTTAAAACACGTAAATTAATGGGTTTTTGGCTTTTTTCTTCCTTTTTTCAAGAAAATTCGACTTATGGAGGTTTGAGGGGAAAAGCTTTTGACTTAGTGAGGTTTTTACTCTATTGGTTCGTCTAAAATGATTCAAATGGGACCTGAAAAAAATTTCGACTTGAGGGGGTTTTCGACTTAGGGAGGTTGGAGTTATCGAGGTTCACCTCGATAACTCGAACTCTGTATAATAAGCAGGAATCACTCACCTGGAAGAAGAGGCAGAAACAGACCCACTGGTAGTACTTGACGTACTTTCTGGGCAGGCCCTTGGACTGGGTGACGCCCGGGAACGGGACTATCTGCGAGTACTCGGACGCATGGGCCAGCGGCACTGTGTACGTGGAATGGATCCAACAGTACGTGTTCACCACGTCCTCGGGCACGTCCTTGTTGTGAATGCAGTCGATGGGGTTGCCCACGTACTGTCGCGTCGTCACGATGAGCGAGAAGGCGAGGAGCATCATGACGGTGATGGAGTAGTGCAGGCGGAACACGGTGGAGTCGATGTGCACATGGCTGACCTTGATGAGGTTCTTGAGTCCCCGGAAGATATCCAGCATGGCGGCGATTGCTGGAGGTTATCCAGCACTGCGGGGCGCTGCTTGGTTTCGGTGGTGGCGGCCGCGGCGGCGCCTCCACCCATGCGGCGGCGGTGACGCAGGCTCGGATGGGGGTTGGCGGCGGCGGCGCCTGATGCTGGTTATTCGCGCTGCGAGGGGTTGTTATTGCTGGTGTGCTTCGACCTGGGTTCCACCGACACCTGTTTTATGATGATGATGACTCACGCGACACATGCACACTCGAACGCCACGCACTGACAAAAAAAGAGGGGGGAATGTCCACCTTCCGGCCCTTTTTCTTGTTGCTGATAATTTTTATTCCGCTCGAAAGGGCGCCGGTTTCAGCTGGACAGTGGTACCATTTTATCGAGATTGAAATGCCTGTTGAACAAGGACGAAGACGATGATTAATCTGCTGACGTAGGGAAACACAGGACACTCTTTATTTATGACGAAGTCTACAATTTTAAGAAGTGGTCGGATTCGGGCCACACTTAAATATAGAAAAATAAGGGGAAATGTCCGCCTTTCTCAGCTGTTTTAAAATGTTTGATTCCGATCAAAGGGTGCCAATTATGGTTGACAGCAGTGCTACCGTTTTGCGATATTGTAAATGCCTGTTGAACAAGGACGAGACGATAATTAATCTTGTGATGCACGGAAACACAGCATCACTCCTTAATTATTACTGAGTCGAAAATAATTTTAACAAGTACAGTACAGTAGAATCTCATTGTTACAACGAATCTCGCCAGAACGATAACAACGATTTCCATTTTAGGCTTCTGCCCAATAGCCGAAATGTTATTCGAGTTCGCTTATATAATACAGAATCTATTTTACTGATCTCAATGACGTCGTTGTAACGAGATATTGCAATTTAACATCTATTCAATCCAAAATCCAATTGCGTACAGTACTGCACCTTGAAACTGCTATTGCATCATCAAAAAAGCTATTATCGATTTGAATTTTCAGTACAAGATAAAGTTAAAGACGGAGCTAAAAGACAATGAATGCACATAAAATAGGGTCTGCAGAAAAATGAAACGAAAAATCTCCAAGCGTTTGCGTTTTTTGCGCGATGCACTTGAAACATTGAAAAATAAATGTCAAATTGAAGATCACTAAAATTTCCTTCGAATCTCATTTCTCGCGAAGATTGGCGGCATCCCTGCAAAAGTTTTGTTTGCTATTCTCGGTGTAAAGTCAGCAGTGAAAAGCTTTAATCATATAAAAAGTTATCTTCCGGACTTTTACGAAAGAAAAAAATATAGAGTACAATTGTTTAATTTTTCAACGGAATGACGGAAATAAGTAGGAAAGATTCGATTTGCAGTCAGATGAAATTTTTTCAAGGCAGATTCACTCGCATCGTTTGTGCAAAATCGTTTTTCTCAACTTATCTCTGATTTCATAAATTTAATCATCCTCTGAAACTGGAAAATTTCCATCACATTCTATCATTTAAAAAAAAGCAAACGGGATTGAGACAATTTTTTTTTTAATTTCATCGAGAGAAGAAAAAGGGGTAACATACGCGTAACAAAATTGGCGCTTCCAGGAAACGCGTCCGCCTACATTCTAGCTATTTTAAAATGCGCAGAATTACTCATGCACTCGATTTGTTTTTCTTTCCCGGTGACCCGACTAAAAGTAGACCAAGAAACATTCGATCCGAGGAATCAAATAGGTCAGGCGCACATGGGCCAGGACCCCCCCGAGGCTTGTTTACCCCGGAAGAAACCTCGCGAAGTATAGCATAGACAAGGCGCCGGCTGAGAAATCCCCGGATCGGATTTGAGCCATGCATGCCAGCTTTTTGCATCAGATCGCGTATGAAAAGACACGTGGGTGTGTATGAAAAGATGAAAGGAAGGCTAAAGGAACAAAAAATAGATATATAAGATGAAGAAGAGAAATCTAGTCGAGTTGGAAGTAGATCACTGCAGGATCCAAGGGGGGTTAGAGTGGAAAGAAAAGAGGTGGGTAAAAATTCGCGTGTGATTAATGTTCCATCGTCTCAAGATGCGCGCTGGGGCGAAGGTGATGAATTTTTATAGCAGCGGTCGCTCGACAAGCTAGCCATTTCTTTCCTTCCCTCCTTCGTGGTTCTTCTGGACGCAAAAAATCAGGTATTCTTGCACTGTCTAGAACAGTGTTCCCAAATCTCTTTGGTCTCGCGGACCGGCGAATTAAAAAAAAAAAGAGATTTCCTGCGGACCAGCAACGTTTTATGAAATTGTTCGAGGACCAGCAAGTTCGCATAAACTTTTTGCATGCTCAAAAAATTGTTGCTTGAATGGCAGGTATTTGAAAAGCTTTTTTTTTGCAAAATTAATTCAGGATCCAATGAAGCAGCTATAGTGGAATGTATTTAAAAAATGGAAAAGTGGGCTTGAAGAAAGGTTTTTCAGACTCAAAAATTAAAATAATTCATTAAATCAGGTAAAAATTTGTCTGAAGTATTATTAGGAGAAAAGCCAAGATAATTTTTTCATGAGATAATTTGAACCGCCATTATATTGAAAAAAAAAGATACTGTAACGTCCGTCATTGCTACTTGTGAAAATTTCATCAGTCTGGATAAATTTCCCAAGGACCTGCAAGAAAACGTCTGCGGACCGCGAGAAAATTGAATTGCTTCAATTCACGTATCACATCAAGGAATTATTTGAATCAAAACTCTCTTTCCACGATATTAAAAGTTCCCATATCAAATTGTGACTGCCTATATAAGGAAACAAATCGCACCCCAAAGTGGACCACCCTTCGGGGTCCGATTTCAACCAAGCGCTAATCTAAGGATTGACGATCTTTCAATTCTCTCCTGAATTTCCATGTGACGGTTTCAAAAAAAAACCGTGATTTGCAAGGACTATAAAAGATTCGGACTGCGTCAAAATATTCATTTGTGAGATTAACCACAAAAGAAATCCTGAAATTAGCAAAGTTTTAAAAGAGTATATGTGAAATGTGAAAGTCTATTTTAGAATCGAATTTATTTATTTTTCAAAACGACTTTATTCCTTAACTCGGTGTGAGTTAAGGAGTAAAGTCGTTTTGAAAATAAATTAAATTCGATTCTAAAATATCCTTCCTTTCACATTTAATGACATTTTGAAGCGTCAGTTTTAAACTTGCGGTATTCGAAATTCACCATTCATCCTGTTGAACTGAATAATTCAATTTTTGGAAGTTTTACGATTAGTTTTTGAAGTTGAGAATATCCATAAAAGTCATAAATTTCAAAATTGCATTGAAAAAAATGGAAGTCTGCGTGCATGACACGATCGAGGATTTTGTTCGATGAGAGGAAAATCGAAGCCCTTGAAAATATGCACTGCATGAAGAGTCTTGCGAAGAAATCGTGCGGTGTTTCTTTGTAAAAAAAAAAAAAAAAAAGAACTTGTTCTCCACTAAGAGCTCTGGAAATTTCTATTTGTGCCTATGTGTTTGCGGAATAAATAGAATGAAAATGAGCTCGTCCCACTGCAACGAAGGAATACTTCACGCACATTGCAGCCGGTAGAAAAACGTGAGTGTTCACGAGCACGCGGAGTTGGAAATAGGCGCCTCGCGGAGAATAAATAAATCGGACTTCATCGCACCCGCCGCGAGAGCAAGATGATCCTCTGCTCTCGTTCAAGGGATCCCAGAGGATCCCAGCACACCCCCCCCCCCCCCTCCTCTCTATTATGCCGCGACGAAAAGGTTTTGGCACGCCCGGGCTCGCATTCGAGTTCATATGTCGAAGGGCCCTGCTGCTCCTGGTTCGAACTGCGGGTAGTGTTAATTATCTTTTTTGTTTTTGCTTTGAAGGAGACGATTTTGTTTGTTCGGTGACCAAATAAAGAGCGGGAAATGAAGTTCGATGAGGACTGCTTTTTCATTGATTTATTTTTCTATTTTTAGGCGACTGAAATACAGTTATTACGAGATTACTGCAGCAATTGGGACCTTAAAATCCTTCGTTATAAACAAAATTAAAATAACATTGTATCTATTAAGCAGCGTGTCCAATAGAAAAAAGTCGTTGTTAGCATTAACTATTAATTCGTCATAACGAGATTTTTCCTTTTAATGAGATTTTAGTCATTTTACCGTTAATACCGTATACGATAGTTCTAACAGAAGTTCTTGGAGTAGCAATGAAAATGGCTTAAAATTGAGCTGGCATTTTTTTCTCTCTAGGGAAAACATATTCTTTGGCACACACAAAAATATCAGCCCTGTTTGACAAATTTGTAAAATTTTTTTTTCATAATTCACCCTGGCAGAGTTTTGATCTCCACTCAAAAAAATGAGGCGCCCTTTTTTTGTTGCGTTCTTTCTAAGGGTTGCCTCCAGGTCATCCACGGCAATTCCGCCATTTTCATCAACAGCCGCCCTCACAGCCGCCAAAGTGGCGGCCAATGTGGCGGCTGTGAAGGCGGCAGTTGATAAAAATGGCGGAATTGCCAAAGTGGCGGCCAATGTGGCGGCTGTGAAGGCGGCTGTTGATGAAAATGGCGGAATTGCCGTGAATGACCTGGAGGCAACCCCTAAAAAGAATGCAACAAAAAAGGGCGCCTCATCTTTTGAGTGGAGAGCAAAACTCTGCCAGGGGGAATTATGGAAAAAAAATAAAAAAAATATGTCAAACAGGGCTGATATTTTTTGTGCGCCAAAGATATGTTTTCCCTAAAGAAAAAAAAAATTTTCAGCTCAACAGTAGGCAATTTTTATTGCTACTCCGAGAACTTTTGTTAGAACCCTCGTACATGTATACGTGTACCCTTGAAGAATAATTGCGTAGAAGCAGGACTAACTGACGTCTCATTCACAAGCTGACTCATTTTTCTGCTTCAACATAAATTAAGTTCATGTTTTTCGAAAAAAATTTCAAACCGTGAATCAAGGATCTTCTTTCAGATTTTCAGCATATATCCGTTAGACCGCTGAACATTTTTTAAAGTTGAAGTTTTCCCCCGAATAAAATTCCAAGGACAATGCAATGTTAGAATATTCGAAAATACGTCTCCTTTTGAAATTAGAAGAAATTGAAGAGTTTCTGAAATGCATTTGAACGTTCTTGAGCCAACCACTGGGTTACTGCATCATGTGACTGTTGTGATTTTTTCATTATCGATTTATTCTTCGAAATACTAGGCGACATTCAAAAAATCATCTGAAATGTATTTTCCTTGGATCTTTTGCTTGTGATCCTCTCCTATTTTATTTCTGTAACTACTTCTTCCTGTTGCCAATGCCAACAAGGTTAGAAATCCAATACTTCACGTTTTCGAATGGATCGCTGACGGCAGTCTACAGGAGGGTTCATTTTCTAAAACCGAAATGACAATGAGTTTCTCTGAATTTTTTTGTGAATACAGTAAATTTTCTTCGAAAAATGTTGCTTGTGACCC